AGAAGAAGAAGACAGTAACAGTTGATAAATTCTCTAAATTTATGGAGAAAGGAAAATTCATGAGATGGTACCAGAAGTTATCACATGATTAACATGATACCGGAAGATACTACATACTGATTAAATGTTATCGTGGTATAATGGTACTGGAAGCTACCACATTATGAGTAAACGAAATGATAAAGTGGTACCACAAGCTATCATTGGATGATTGAACAAAAATGAGAAAATGGTGCGAAAAGCTACCAGTTATAAGTGATCACACAAAATAATTTCTCAATGTATTATATAATTCTAAGGGAAGATATCTGGTGACAAAAACACATTGATAATATCATAATACGAGATCATATAAATATTACAATGAAGCGCTCCAGAAGAAGCACATATGATAATGATTGTTGTCATGAAGTACTACACGCTTATCTTGAGAAAAAGCGAAATTGATATTAATATTATTGAGAAATAAATATAGAAGGATCATATGTTGGAACTATGGATAAGAAATAGTAAATCCTCGATAAATATGCGAAAAATATTACATAATAGAACCCATAAAAGAAGGGTGCGTCTCGAGAATATAAAACTTCGTAACTCTACCACTCATTATTGTTATCTTGGTTCATAATGAGAGATCTAAAGGATCAAAAGCTATTGTTTCACTTGACCCCTTGTGTTTCCACATAATCTTGAAATGTGATGCACTCGTAAAGCTTTTTGATAAGTTCAGTAGATGTGCCTGCAGATTTGAATACTTCCCTCGTTGAAGGAGATACAAAAGTTTGATATACTCCTTCGTCTAAAAATCTAAGCAATTTTAATTATCTTATGGGGTCCTTCCTCTAGCACCAAACTGTTGTTATGCGGAATTAAACAACTTTAATTATCGAAATTTAGTTCTAAAGAAAGCTGTTTTTGAGCTAGTTTTATAGAATTTTGATGTCGATTTTGGTAGTACAGGAGGTCGGTTTGCATAGACCGAGTTAATAAATGATGGAATTTAATGTCTCCAAAAAAAGATCCTCGTACAAGAATAAATGTTTCTAGTTATAGTGTTCTTCGGCCCATCTTTTGAAGTAGATGCGGCGACATTAAATGTGAGTTGACCTCATAGGGACACCTACTCTGCAGGGGTGCCCGTTCGTAATGATTAAGGCACATGCGTCTGACGGTTGACTGACAGGTGTCTTGTCTGTGTCGGGCAGACCTCGGTTGTAACCGTAAGTCGGTCTTATGATCATCCTTTGAAATCGGGGATCACCTCGCTAACGAAGTCGGCACACTCCACGTCTCTTGCGCTATGTTTCCCGAGTCGACCCTTTCCTTTGGCCCTTTTCGTCCAATTCAGCATCCTGTGACTAATCTCCCACGTGGCGTCTTCTGATTGATGTGTCCAGGTCTGATATCAACATATATGTATCAAACTGAAATTGTGCAAATCATAAACTGAATGATACTGATGGTTGTGAAATATATGAAATGATATGATGGTGGAATAATACGCTGGAAGTTGGTATTGTGCAAATTGAATTTCCAAATAAGTGATGAAAGGAGGCATATATATACTATTGATTAAATCAATTTGATAATGATATATCTCAATATATTACAGGGAATAGTGAAAATGAATAAGCGTCGACACAAACAAATGGATAGCACTATATAAATGATATTGACGAGATTGAAATCAACTAAAAATGTGAATATTAAAAACTATTGGCAGTAAGACCATTGATATATCATATATAAAAAAATCGAAATATATAATCAAAATATTAAATTTTAAAATATATTTATAATTTAAGTTGGTCAAGTGTTTTATAATTTTAAAAATCCTAACAAGTATGAATACACGTCCAATTGACTGAAGAACAAATGTTCGAGAAACTTTGCATTTATTAATGAGGGATAAGGATATATTTGGGGAAATATTTTTCTAAAGTTATTTCTAAACTGCTCTCTTAGTACAATACTCTTATAATACAAGAAGTATTAAATCAAAATTGAATGTTGAGTAAAAGTAAGTAATAAAATTTATATTTAATTTTTTATATATTACTTTAAAAATCATGTTATTATTTATATTTCAATTTAAAATAATATTAAAAATAATTTTAATTGACATAATTATATAATTTTTTACTTATAATTTAAATATATATATACATATGCATTTATTTTTTAAACATATAGATAAACATTACTATTTTTTTATTATAATATACCATGAATATTTAATCTAATATTGTGAAAGGATAATTAATTTGATATCTCATAGAAACATAAATAATAAAATATAAATTTTAAAAATATATTTATAATTTAAATTAATCAATTATTTTAAAATGTTATAAAACTCCAAATTTAGTCCAACTGCCAAAAGTGAAAATGACTCATAGGATACTTGGTATCGAAATGACCTACCGGCTGGAATGAGCTAGAACACCTGGAAATCGAACGGATCGCCGGTTGACCGTCATCGAACCTGCAGAACTCTCACACCGAAGGGGATCTCCGGTCAAGAGCCTCCGATGCTTAAGTAAGTATAGGTAGAAGATGAAATGCAGAGAGGAAAACTCACTGGAAAATGCTAAGTACTAGAGAATGTTATAGTTTTCAGCCATACCTCACTCCCTTTTACAGGGAGAAGATACCTTAGGGCCCAAGTCGGATGTGTGACCTCTCCACCAACAAGCGCGTGAGCTACCTCGGTTGTCAGAACTGTCAGAGCCCTCCGGGATGTCAGAGGTGGTTATGAAGCGTGGACCACTCAGGTAGTGCCACGTGGTTTTACCCATGTGAGGGGTTTAATTCCTATAATATTCCTTCTTATCCTTAAGCTTTCCCATTAAGTGGTCTAACCATGGACTCGACCTCCATTGTCTTCAGGTAAGGTGTCATCGACAAGAAGCCTCGTTGTCCTGTCATTCTGGTCAATCCTTCGACCAACTCCTATTTCCCTTTGACCTTCGACCAATCTCCCTGAAAGCCACCACTCGACCTCTGGCTTCTTCTAACCTCCAGTACTTTCTTCGACCAGGTAGTCTTTCGACCCAGGCGATCTTCTCTTTCCCATCGACTCGGTGATCAGGCCGGTCTAATCTGGTTGCTTCTTCGGTCCAGTCGACCAGGTATGGTTATCCCATATCAATATTGGTTATGTTTGATAAAACTAGTTGATAAATTAATTTATAACTGATAAGCAAGATATCTTATAAGTGATTTTCGAGCTTATAACTTATAGCTTATGACTTATAGTTGAAAAACTAACTGATATGATAAAAATGTTCGGTAAAATTGTCTGATAAGCTAGCTGAAATAAAAATTTCACCGAACTTATATAAAAATTATTTGGTTCATCAGTATTCATAATGTCTTCAGTAATGATTTAATGGGCTACTTTTAAGGCTTTTTTTGGTGGAAAAATACAAGGCTCAAATAATATATACTTTTTTGTGATGCTAGGTTTTTTTCAATATCCATGAATCAAATTCTGTATGATATTTAAGAGGTAAATCCAGCACATATTCTGCTGTCATCCCCTTAATTTCACAAAGTCGCTGGAAATTGCCGACTCAGCAGCAAAAATAATTCTGATATTTGTCTGAACAAATTTAATTACATGCATGCGTCTTTGACATATCAAATATGGAGGACAAGTTAATCAATATATTTACATACAACTGCTCATTTAGAAAGAAACATAGAATTGGCCTCCTTATTATTTAATTTTCTCCTTTTTTTAAATTACTTTTTGGTCCTCATGCTGCAACTTGAGCTGCAGCTAGCCTTGCAATGGGCACCCTGAGTATAGTGAGCACAAAGTAAATTAGACAGCAAAAAATTAACTAGTCTTACAATCTTTTGAGGCCTTTTGCAGTGATGAATTAATCTTTAACTCAGGCAATTCAACAACTCACAGTANAAAAAAATCATGGAATCAGCATGTAATTTTGATGGTAATAATAAGAAGGCAAATTTTCCCCTAATATCACGACTTTTATCGAAGTTGCAATTTAATCATGTCCTTTTCACTTTTACAAATTATATCACAATCTTTAGTTTGTTGCAAAGAGTCTGAAAACAATCATAGAAAAGCTGATGTGATCGAAAAACAAACTGAAGATTGTGATATAGTTTGCAAGAGATATGCAAATCGGTGCACCAATTTGCAACAAACTGAAGATTGTGATTTGTGATATAATTTGCAAAAGTGAAAAAGTCGTGATTAAATTACAATTTCGAAAAAGGTCATGATATTAAGGGCAATTTTGCCTAATAAGAATTGAGGGGCACCTGAATGGAGAACACGAGACATAGTCAAGTCCGGCTTCAGCAAAGAAGGCAACAGAAGAAGGCTCCCCACCGTGCTCCCCACATATTCCAACCTGTTGCATTTTCGGTTCATTATTTTAACAAAGTCGTTTATTATTTATTATGGTAGACTTTCGAAACTTTCAAAATAAAAAACCTGACCTTTAGGCTTGGTCGAGCTGCACGGCCTCTTTCGGTTGCCATCTTAATCAGCTGACCCACGCCTTTCTGGTCAAGAACCTATATTTTTGGAATAAAAAAGGATCATTACAGTAATGCTTTTAGGATATATGATATTTACAAAACAATTGATGCCCAAGATATTACCTCAAATGGATCGTGCTGAAGAATGCCCTTAGATAAGTAAATCGGCAGAAATTTGCCCACGTCATCTCTGCTGTATCCAAATGTCATTTGCGTGAGGTCGTTTGTTCCAAACGAGAAGAATTCGGCTTCTTTGGCAATCTTTCAAACAAAAGCCGTAAAAAAATATGTCAAAAGCGCAAAAAGAGTAATAAAAAGAAATGCAGCCTAGTTTACTTTTGGTTTGATACACCGTAATTGATGAAATATCAAAACCAAAATTACAGAATTGGAACTTACAGAACGAACATTGCAAAGAAGTAAGTTTTTTAGTAAAACTGTTGCCACATTGCACTGTTAGACGATAAAAATTGCTAAACACTAGTAGTAATTTCACAATTTAACAATGTAAACTCTGCATTGTTTTTACTTTTCACTTTGTAACCTCTGGTCAGCTAGAATTTTAATGTAAATACTATAAAAACTCAAATTCAGAAAACATTATGTAGTTTTAGCTCAGAACAACAAAATTCGCCAACCTCGTCTGCAACAAGAGCGGCTCTAGGGATCTCGATCATTGTGCCCACTTTGTAGCTCACAGAAGAGCCCATCTCAGAGAACACTTTTTCTGCAACCCCACGAATCAAACTCACCTGATGACTCAATTCCTGCGAAAAAAGTCGCCTTAAAAATATTAGTGGCCATATGTACATCTTAAGTACAAACCGAGATATATGAAATTAAATGATATGATTCAAAACATGCCTGAGGTGTTCCAATAAGAGGAACCATAATCTCTGGGTGGACTTTAATTCCCTGGTTGCTCAAAGAGATGGCCGCCTGAAATATTGCGCGAACTTGCATTTCCGAAAGCTCGGGGTACGATATCCCGAGCCTGCCAAATTTGACTTATTAGTTAATTCCTATTTTTTCTTCTTTTTTTTTAAACGTATAATTTTGCAAGTCATAACTCTAGAAATAAAATGTACATTGCATAAGAATAGTTGTAGCATAATTAATGATGCATAATTACACCTGCATCCTCGAAATCCGAGCATGGGGTTTACTTCAGACAATTTTTCAATCCGTGAGTAAATTTCATCTTCACTCATGCCAGTATCGATTGTTAGTTCCCCAACAATGTGCTCTATGTCGCCTTCCGGAAGGAATTCGTGAAGTGGAGGGTCTAAAAGTCTGATTGTTACAGGCAGACCTGTTTTCATGTTTATCAAAGGTTTTCATTAAATGTTCTCAGGGTTTATCTCATTCATAATCTGGTGAATTTCGCAACTTAGTCGTATATAAATTGAGGAAAGAAGAAAAAATTAGTCGTGTAACGGTATAAACTAAATTTCAGACCTGCAAGATGAAGTTTGCAAACTAGTTCAGTAAGTATATGGAAAATCTTTAATTTTTTTTTTTTTTTNTTTGACCTGAAATCGAAGTTTTTCATATTTACGTGACTATTTTGCATGTTGTGCAATTTATGGAGCAGAAATTGAATTCTTTATCTAGTTTCAAAGCGTTTTAAGGTCCAAAAGGTAACACGACTAGTTATGTGTTTTGCTTTGAATTTTATACATATGGTAATTGTTCTATTAGTTTCAATTATTATTTGTTCATTTCAAAAAAAAAAAAAAATGTAGTGACGAGAAGTACCATCCATTGCACGGAAAATCCCTTCAAAGTCCGCTCGTTGATAAGGCAATAACAAGTCCAGAGCTTCCTTCCGCTGTTCAGGTGTAACTGCCATTATCATCTTTCTCACGGCCTTAATCCTCTCATCCGAAGCAAAAAACTAACACACACGAAGATTCCATGGTGTCACAAGAACTGAATAGAAACCTCGAAAATTCATACTAGCTAGCATTCAGAGAAATGGAGGTGGTTGTAATTATTTTCAAATAAGTCATACTTATAGCCTTAGCAATTTGCTCTGGTAATATCAAGGCAGTGCTTGCTTTGCAAAATAGTTCAATAACTATATAAACATCTCAATTTCAGTCCTACAAATTCACCATTTAACTATAGAATGCTCTCCCCTTGGCATTATTCATTCCATTGAAATTAGGATCAAACTGAGATTCTGAGATATAGCTAGAGGACTATCTTGTTATCTTGGAAGCAGTGCATTTTATATAACCAATCTTTTTAGGTGTTAGTATATTGCAAGTTGCATTTAGAAACACACTACGATGGTCAGCTAAGGCCTGTAAAACTTACCATGTGCTCTGTTCTACACAAACCGATCCCTTCAGCTCCATTATTCCGTGCAGTGAGCGCATCTTCTGGTGTATCAGCATTTGCCATAACCTGTTATTGTCCCCAAACAGAGAATTAGCTTAAGTCGCCTAATCTCATCAAGGAATTCACCAAAATACCTTAAGTCGCCTAATCTCATCAGCCCACAACATGAAAACCTCCAAATCCCCGGTCAAAGCCGGAGGAGAAAGTGATTGTTTTCCCAAGATCACTTCACCAGTCGAGCCATTTAGAGAAATCCAATCTCCTTCATTTACCACTTTGTCCCCAATCAAAACCATCTACACCACCACCAACAAATGAACAAGAAAGTATTATTTTTTTTGGTCTCACACAATAGCTAGGAGCCTAGGATCACAACCGACATGGATATTTAGTTTTTCTTGGTCCAATTTCAAATGAAATTATGCATATTTATCAAGAATTAGTAATTTTGACATGTTCCATACTTAAATGTAACAAAAAAATAAAATAAAATAAAATTCACGTCAACACATAATTCTCAACTCACCAGCTGCCGACCGGTTCTAGTCAGCATTTAGGTAAATTTCAAACAAAATTGAAGAAAAGACGTAAATTTATAAGACCTTCTCTGAGTCGTTCACGCGTATTTCCGAACAACCGGAAACACAGCATTTTCCCCAGCCACGAGCAACAACTGCCGCATGAGAAGTCATTCCTCCTCTAGCAGTTAAAATCCCGACAGCTGCATGCATGCCCCCAACATCCTCCGGACTTGTCTCAGTTCTCACCTTTCAAAAAAAATCACAAAAGTGCACCAAAAAATTTCAGCTTTTCTTTTTTTATTATTTTTTTTATTTTTTCTTTTTCAAAAAATTGGAGACTTATTATCTTACAAGAATTACACTCTTTCCTTGTGTATGCCATGCCTCAGCATCTTCAGCACTGAACACGACTTGCCCCACTGCTGCACCAGGGGATGCCGGCAAGCCTTTCGCTATTACTTGCTCTTTATAAGCAGATGGATCCTCAAACTACAACAAAAATAATTACTTTTATTAAAAAAAAATTAAAAAATTCGCTATTTTTAAAATTGGCATAAAACGCGTACCTGTGGATGAAGAAGCTGGTCAAGATGCTGAGGCTCCACCATATTCACGGCCTTGCGATAGTCAATAAGCCCTTCATTCACCATATCCACAGCTATTTTCACAGCCCCTTTACCCGTACGCTTTCCTGTTCTACACTGCAGCATCCACAGCCTCTTCTCTTGCACCGTGAACTCGATATCCTGTTCCCAAAATTTCTTATANAAGGATAAATATTTCTTACCATCATGTCTTTGTAATGACGCTCTAATATCTCGCAATTTTCAACGAGTTCTTTGTAAGCTTCCGGCATTGAATTCTTCATGGTGTCCAAATCCTGCGGCGTTCGGATTCCAGCCACAACATCTTCTCCCTAAACGTCAATTTTCATCAAACATGTCATAAATAGGATGCATAAAAGAAATTAAAATTCAGAAAAAAAAAGGACCAAAATCATTGAGACCTGAGCATTAATTAAGAACTCCCCATACAACTTCTTTTCACCCGTGCTCGGGTTTCTCGTAAAAAGAACGCCCGTTCCAGAAGTATTTCCCATATTTCCAAAAACCATGCACTGAATGTTTACAGCTGTCCCTTTAAGACCAGTTATTTGGTTAATTGCTCGATATTTTATCGCCCTTGGGCTGTCCCACGAGTTGAAAACTGCTTTCACGGCTAACTCAAGCTGCTTAGTTGGATCTATAGTGGAACAAAAAAAGGAAATTACAGTTAAAAAAGAGAAGGAGAGCCTTTTCAAGAAAGAAACAGTTAAAAAGAATGATATACAATTTTTTTAACCTGATGGGAATTTTTCACCCTTAGCTTCAAGATAGACATCTTTGTATTCCTCAACGAGCTCTTTTAGATCAGAAGCTGTTAGATCAGTGTCGAGCTTTACGCCTTTTTTTATTTTCATCATTTCCAGTTTCTCCTCAAACAGAGAATGTGGGATGTCGAGAACCTTGTAGTAAAAAATCAGTATTACCCAAAATTCAAAACTATGCCTTCTTGTTTTACTAGAGAAAATAAAGTGAAAAATGTTTTCGGATAAGAAAACTTACAACGCCTCCGAACATGTCAAGAAAGCGCCTATAAGAGTCGTATGCAAATCTTTCTCCACTTTTGGAAGCTAAACCAGCAACAACCTCATCATTTAGCCCCAGGTTAAGAACAGTGTCCATCATACCAGGCATAGAAATCTATATTCAACAACACAATGTGAGTAATGTATGCATTAAAAGAACAGATGTCTATAAATTTTAGAAAGATTTTAGCTAGTGAGGTTGAAAAGAAAATAAAGAAAACTNAAAAAGAATCTTTCCTGGAATTCCATTCATTCTTATCTTTTATAGATTAGTACATATACAAAATTACAATTTGCCTGATTTCCAGTATTTCTTTAACATAATTACATAAATGTAACATATATGAACTAGAAAAAATAAATATAACTCCTAAATAGCTTAAAATTAACTGCATTTCTATTTCTTGTCAACTTGGGATCAGAATCCTTAATGAAATGTATTCCCAATATCACCTTTTCTTTCCTTTTTTGATTTTTTTAACAAAAATTGAACTTACCAATCAATTTCTATTGATATCAACATTAGCAAACGAATGGGACTTACAGCAGCACCAGATCGAACAGAAAGTAAGAGAGGCTTTGTGGGGTCACCAAGAAAAGCTCCAATATCATTCTCCACTATTTTCAAAGCTTCCATGATTTCATCCCACAATCCTTGCGGCAATTTCTTGCCCACTTTCTGATATTCTTGACAAGCTTCAGTCGAGATTGTTAAGCCAGGTGGCACAGATAAACCGATGCTCGCCATCTCAGCAAGGTTTGCGCCTTTCCCTCCCAACTGGTGCAAACAAAAATCATGTTAGCTTCAAAATTATTCTTACTGTTTTATTTTGCATATGAATGATAATTTCTACAGCTACACTTTGAAATGAACATGTTGAATCTATTGAATTTCTCAGTGTAAGTTTGCTAGCCAAAAAATTTCAATCTTCAACAACATGTAACTGAGTTATCTCCTTTTCATTATTTTATTTATCATATTTTCTGAATACACAGAGTCCTTTCGAGGAGATTTTGAACAGAAATTGAATTTGACTTCAAATGCATGGAGGTCTAATTTG